CACACACACACACACACACACACACACACACACACACACACACACCTGTGGGTGTGTTTGTGGCTGTGGAGCAAAGGCTGCAGGGCAGCAGTATGAGCTTCATGACATTAAAAACAGTCCAGTTCAGTCCAATCTGACACAGCAGCAGGAGTTGATTGTTAAACTAGCAAGATGAGCAGTTTTAAAGAGCTGCTTGTGGACACGCACCTCACATATCTTTTTTCATCTCTGCCCCACAGTTAATTAAAAAAAAAGGTTTTTCCTCCTTCCACCGACTCTGGTGTGAAAAAACGCCTGCTGTTTATCTGCTGAGCTATACGTGACYTACAGCGAGAGGACACAGGGAGAAATTGTAGTAATTTATTCCCCACCACACAATATGTCATTTATGGTCCTATACAAGAAAATTATTAAAACTTTTTCTAGTAAAAAAAAAAAGAATAGGTAAGTATTTGTTTTAGATCACCATAGATAGGAATGGGGGCACGATGTGTGCATTAGTTGTGCAGTGCTGCACTTCACACCTTCCTCCTTTGTTTTTTCCTCAACAAAGTAAACTTAAACTATAATCCATAGATTAACACAACTTTAGATTGTGCATTGCTGTATGTATTGTGGGCTTAATAAAAAAACGATCCACAAAAACTCGACCTGACCATCAAGGATATAATTTTGACCTGAATTTGAGTCAGACTCAAGCAAAAAATCTAAACTCTAGTGGTGATTCATTACTGGTATTGGTATAAATTGGCCCTCCACTGATCAATTTAAAAGATTATATACATAAATGTTTTTACTAAAAACTGTGCTGCGCTGCAAAAATGTATTAGAACATAAAGAGATACAGCTTTTTTTGATCGAAATTAAATGAATGGTTGCAAGGATCAACAACTTAAGGTTTTCCAAACYTATTATTTGCACTAACTTATAGACAAAATAAGCATAAAGCAWGAGTGGGAACTTAGTAAGATATACTGTTGGAGCACTGGACTATAAAAGAAGAGCATGTTTTGTACCGCAGAATGGCTGCCATGTTGGTTGTCTGGCCTGTCAGTTTTTTGGAGATAGACCTATATTCAGAATAACAAGACCGCAATATTTTAAGAAGAAATCACCCAAATCACTGAATCAGATTAAGTTTACTCTGATTCAGATGTTTAGCTGTAAGATATGAAACATGATTTTTTTTCTCCAAATAAAACAGCTTAAACAGACAGTAGCTTTGTAGTGCTTGTGTGTCTGAGTACAGCCTTCAAACAACCTTTGCTCTCCTGGATTTATGAGGTTAATGGGTTGAGCTGACTGGGACTGTCTGTAAAACAAATGAAGGCACAACATCCCAGAGCAGGAAAACCTTAAATTTGCAGTGTAGCTGGATGATACATTTGTACTTTGGTTTGTATTATATTCAAAATCTAATTAATGTTAATTACTTTCATTTTGAGTTAATAAGCTTTATTAGTATTTTATTTGTGCTGCTTCATATCACCAAAACCTAATATATATTTTTAGAAAGCACCTACTGGATGGACTCACAGGCTTAAAAGATATGGTAACCCAAACCTACTTTACTTTTAAACAATACCAAAGGCTGCTGCATGTGTAACATTTCATTTTTCACATCACAACATGCATTTTTATGTTTTTTGCTGTGGAGTGAAATTTTCAAATATGAAATCATTTATTCATGTTTTTCAAAAGGTGACTCATTTTATCGTATGACGTTTTTCACTCAGCAGCATTGAAGGTGCTGCAGCTTTAGATAAAGAACGCACAAATCACCCTCATTACAACTCAGCACAGGATTAAAAAAAAAGTCAGTCCTTACCTGATGATCTCACACTGTTCAATCTGCCTTCTCTTCCCTTCAGGTTATGTGGGTATGCAACTTGTGCCGAAAACAACAAGAAATCCTCACCAAATCAGGAGAGTGGTTCTACAGCTCGGGGCCGGGTCAAGTGCATGGGGTGTTTGAAGGTGGACCACAGGGAAAAAAGGCCAAACTGCAGGACCAGTCCTTATACCCCCACCAGGCAGCCTCAGGGGACTTGACATCAGCCTCAGACAGAAGCAGACCTCACGGTGGGCTTCTGCCCAGACAGGCATCCCTTGACAATGGTACAGGGCTAAGGTACCTTGGGCCTGGTGATGCATCTATAGACAGGTGAGTCTTCATTTTTTTCTTTTCGTGTTAAAAAGCAACTTTATAACACGCCCTATGAGAATTTCATGGGTGCTTATTGTTGTGTAAAATAGGTCAGGTTTGTTTTTTCAGAGAAAGCATTTTAAGAGAACAGGGTTCAGGTAAAGACACATGATTTAAATGTGAAGCGTGTTTTAGCGTTAGCACTGATCTTTGAGGCTGTGTAGGGGTTATGTGGGACACTGATTTGAGCCTTGCAAGCGAGGCAAAGACCTGCATAAAAATGCTTGTACATGGAGCCCATAATGCCTATAAAAAAGACAGAGGCATAAACTCTGTATCTGGCTCTAAGTCAGCAATTTTTACAACAGTCATCCACCCACTCACCCTCTTTTCATCACACACACATTCCTCTCCGGCATACATCAACACAAGTAATTGCCTGTCTGTTTCAGCTGGGATGGAGCATTAGCACATGAAGGGAAATTGCAAACAACTTTGTTATATTGTTTTTTTTAATAAAAAAAATCTGACTTTCTTTATTCAAAGAATTGTGTTTTGTCTTCAGCTTTAGTTTTAAGCCAGTTCAGTAATAAAAAATACAGCTAGAAAATGTAGGTGTTATTAGAATGTATTTGGCTCAGGAAAGCAGAGAAGGCTAAGTTCAACTCAGAACACTGTGTTCTTTTTATCTTATGTGCAAAAAGCCCTTCTCTGAGTAGAACACTGAGATGCTGACCGAACAAARGTAGTGCGCTGTTGGGATTTTGCTTGTCTGTCTTGATTGTCCACATTGGGGTCCTACTGCTTTCTTTTCAAAAATATTGGTGGAAAAGACTAATAGTTATGGTGAAGGTGAAGGTATTCAACTATGTTTTGCTTTGTGTGTGTATGTCTGTTACCAGTAAGCTAAACATTTTATGAACCAGGGAACTGATTTACTTGAACGTAATCACAAGATGTACAGTTACAACTGATTAATGTTTGGAGTCTACCCAATTCAAGATGGCCACCAAAACTAAGACCAAGGCTGTGTCTTGATTAGGGGTTGCAGCCCACGTAGGCTACATTTGTCGGCTGCTTATGTCACTGCACCGGTCTGTAGGCTGTCCCAATTTGTAGGCATCTACTCATGCGGCTGACAAAGCCCTGAAAACGTAGGCTGCATCTAAGTATCCTATGTGGCCGACAATATCCAATAGTTTGGAAATTTATCACAGACTGAAGAATTTGTTTTTAAATCTACGTTTAGCAACTTAGCTGATGAAATTGCTGTTGCAATGAGATATTAAATAAAATGCAATTACAAGAACTGATACTGGTGCTAAACACAAATGATTTGTTTTTTAATTTGTTCATGTGTAACGTTTTTTAATAATACTGAATTTTGTAAAGTTATACCTCCTGTGAAAAGACGTGAATACATGATGTAACAGCGCGTGGTCACGCAAACATCTGAAGACTAGATCGTCTCATTTCACAGCTGTTTCTTTCATGCAGCCTACATGGACGTCCTATGGCCCACGTAGGATGTGGTCTATGTGGGCTGCAACCCCTGAGACCCAGCTCAAGACTTTAAAATACATGGGACTAATTTGTTGTGGTTGTAGCTGACAGCCATTCTCAACACTGAATGAGATTGCAGATAATATTATTTTCAAGGTTTGACCAAAGTGTCTACAGCTCCATTATTCCTCATGAGATGATCTTGGTCTAAAACTCTGTCATGAAAGGCGGTGATCGACATATTCCTTCAGGAATTCAAGAATTTTAATTAAGATCTGTACACCTTAAAGAATTACCTGTGTAGCATTAATTCCAACAAAACATCCCAGATATCTATGTAACCATTGGTCTATTGTAGGATCCAACAGTTGAATCTTTGTTTCTTGTGACTTTTCTTCCTGCTAATGTCACCGGTTCTGTCAGTGGAATCTGCCACTCGTGCGTTTCTGTACTTTAGAAAAATGCAGCAAATCTATAAATTTACGTTACAGTCAAATTTTGTTCTGCTTTTCTTGTGAAATCCTCTGCATCTTATTGTTTTGAATTTACACAGGAAAGAGCAGAATATTGTTTTCAAAACTACCAGAATTGCTCAAAATCTTTGAGTGTTGTAGCAACAACTAAGATGGGCATCATGCCTTGTTCTGATCCTTTGCAGTTGTATATRAGTGGGTAGTATACTGTAGTTATAGCAGGGAAGTTAAGCTGTAGCATAGACATAGGCATAGCTTACATTTGCAGTGACAAGAAACTAAAAAGTCGTTGGCTGAAAACTCACCACATAACGCAGATGATGGATAACAGGAAGGCCATAAATAGAACTCCCACTGCATAAGCACCAAAGCCCACCATCATTAATCTTAAACAATGTGTAAATTAACTCTCAAACCTGTCTTCCAAAGAAATGGGGGCAAAATGCTGACTGTTTATACAAAAAAAAAAAAAAAAAACTCAGGAAGGCCTTTAATTTGTTCTGGTCTCAGAGTCATTGAAACGAGCACACAGATACAGCAGGACAGCTGCAGTAGTGCTGGAGACAGTTGAAACAGCAGTTATTATGTTTCAGTTCAAAATATATTCACTGAAGACAGTTTCTCTACTTCTCGAGTTTAACTCCTTCAGCTGACAAAGACTACATTAAAACCTAGTATCTAACCCAGCTTCAACTGCTGGAGACTAGTTAAGGAAATCATAAAGAGTATATAGACCAAGGGTCTCCACCTTCTCATGTTGTTAGTGGCTGATGCCAGCAGGAGCTGCCATGTTGTATTTTTGGAATCACACTCTGTATGGGGCTTAAGAGCCTGCCTACTAAGTCTGCACCACTGTTTCACAACATTCTTCGACATTCTCATGAGTTTGTTGCAACAAAATTGTGATTCTGATTTTGAGACGTGTCTGCTTCTCAATAGTTGTGAAAATCTTGATTTATAACAGGGGTGCCCAAACATTTTCTCTGAGAGGGCCAAAATGAAAATCTATCCAGGGCTGTGGGCCAAATGCAGTAATATAATACATGAAATACGAATATTTTTTAAGTAAAGTCCTTTATTTTTAGCGATTATGCTATGCAATGGCCCTCTTTTGTTTAAGTCTGTGCGCTTGGATAAAGACTGCCATAGCAAAGGCTCATGGGACATATCATAAATTGATAAAATATGAGTTTTTGTGGCCTTATAAAGTGTGCAAATCTACATGTGGGGTTAAATCTGATCTAAATATTTATTGTTGTCATTTCATGTTTCATGTTTAATCCTAATAAATCAAAGCTAAAGTCAACAGCATGAATGAAAACTACCTTCACTACAGGCCAGCGGTCACTCTTTCAGAGATGAGGATGTTCTCATTCTTGATAGAGAGGAACGTTGGTTTGAGAGAGGAGTAAAAGAAGCCATTTTTGTGAAGAAAGACCATCCATCATTAAACAGAGGTGGAGGCCTCCGTTTTCAGTTGTCCCCCTCCTACAGTGCTGCTATTGCCAGTATCACTCCACCCCCTGTTAACAATAGGTGTTAATTAGGTGTCAACGATAGCCATGTGATGTGAGTATCAGTCACATGGAGGCAGGGCTTAAAAGCCTGAATTTTGCCTGAAACTCTCAGACTGAAGAAGTCTCTTGGAGGAGAGACGAAACGTTTCATTAGAGAAGAACCCATCCAGAAGACCTATACAATTTTTTTTCTTTTTGATTTTTTACCTGGATTACTGAGATGCATCAGGATACCTTCACTACAGCCCTTTTATATAGTCATTTGACCAATGGAAATACTGTGTTTCTACATAGAATAACAGGTTCCAARCTTTTAACTTTGGCAAATGTTGGTGGGCCGAATCAAATGGCTTGGCGGGCCAAATTTGGCCCGCGSGCCCCACTTTGGGCTCCTCTGATTTATAATGTTCTGTATTTGTGTGACAATGAACATGTGGACTATAAAAAACCAGGGCCTCTACTTAGTCCAATAATTTGTCAACAGATGTCAAGTGAAATGGACCTCATGGAAGACAGGTAGAAGCTGCTGGACTAGCGCAAGAAGACATGCTACTGCAGAGGTCAAACATGACTGGGTCACACTAGCCCCCATAATGTCCAGTTCTCATTGTCACAAACCTATTATAATTTAGTTTCAAAGGTTGCAAAACTTGTCTCAGACTACTAACTCTTTCTGATTCTCAGAAACAACAATGAGAAAGAGTTGAGAAATGTTTCAGGTGTCTGTGGTGACCATTTAAGAAAAAAAAGTCCCCCAATTTTTTAAAAACATATTCAGAATTCGAGTGACTTTTGAGATGAAATCCCTGTGAAGAAGGGAGAAGTTGGAAAACATTGTAACATTTTTGGAAACTTCCTGAATGCCATTACCAACATGTTTCCAGTATTCACAGATTAGTGTAATATTAGCTTAAGTCTTAGACTATATTTTAACCTCCTAATGAGAGCAGTTTGGTTCTGTTCAGTTCAGGATTGCCTAATAGCAGGAAAGACAAGGACAGGGTCATGGCAGGACTAAAGTGGAGGAGCTAAAATAAGGAAAATACTAGGAAAAATGAACTTATGGTACAGGGAGGCACAGAACACAGGACTTATACCAAAAGGGGATAACTCTAACAATACATATAAAAGACTACCAAAAATAATCAAAGAAGACAGATAATTCAACTACAAGTGGTTTTGTCCAGATATTTGGCTGCACTGTTTTACCACATAAAACTATTGGCCTAAATTGAAGCTTGAGCTGGATTTACTTATTTATTTAGTTCTTTACAGTGGAGTATTGAATAAATAAATAATTTCTATATATATGCACACAATGGCACCTAAGACATCACAAGGGCAATTGAAAATGTGGTCTAGTCTGTGCAAAGATGCCCCAGAGTAGTGAGGTATGAATTAATACTGAAATATCGATACCACCGATAACCCCAAGTGGGTAAGTAGGTGGGGATCTTCGATTTTGTATTTATATTTTGTTAAATAATGTTCTCTGACACTATTGAATATAATTTGCAGCCGTGAG